AATTGCAGGTGAGTTGAGAGCATAAACCAAACCCATTGGATAGCATTCAGTATGAATTGGGGGATGCTGTTTTGGGGTAATGGGCTATTTCGGGACGGAGGCAAAAGTAAGTTACAAATGCTTTTGCATATTGGGATTGAGCTCGATCAAATGGACCGGCTTTGCTTCGCTGGGTGGAATTCTGAAAGGAAACGAGGGTTTATCCCTTCTAAACTGTTGTTAATTAGCAGGAGTAATTATATTTTGAACCCATCTAGTTTGGAGTCAATTAGCCATTGGTCCTTCTCATTTGATACGGACAAAAAGTAACCTATGAATCTTTTGACTCTTTCATCATTTGACGGTCAAATTACTTTTTTTCTTTCTCTAATTAGCACTCAGTTTTTTTTTTTAACTTTTTACTTACACAGTACGATAGACTCGTGATAATATGATTTTAACATTTAACATTTAATAAAAATTATTACTAGTATTCTTTGTTTTAATAATATTATTAGTCATGGAATGCAGACCCACTGTTATTCAATTTTAGATTTTTTACATTCACGTTCAATGATGTTACAACATGATTTTAACATTCAATATTTAATTTACAAGAAAAGTAACAAACTATAAGGTAAACTGCTGATTTCTCTCTGAACTTTCACTTAACTTTCAATTTCCAACCTACACTTTTTAATTGGAAAATCAAGGACTTAAACTATATTTTTTTTGGCCGATTTCCCCCTACCTTTAGTTTTCCATAGATTCCGTCCAAATTAACGTTAACTCTTATCACGTGCACACCACGTGACTCTACTTTGAGGAAAAAATCGTTACTTTGCTAGACCTTCAGACACAAAAATTATAGAATCACACAAATTTGCATAGGTTGACATTTTAGAACCCTAGGGTTTTCAATTATTTTAAAGAATGAATCGACCGAACTACCCTCACATGTTGTGCACATACTTCCATTTAACATAAATTGGATGGAATGAATGAAAAACTAACAGTAGGGCGAAATCAGCCAAAAAATTTAGTTTGATCCTTAATTTTCCAAATTGAAAAGTTTAAAGGGGAAATCGAAAGCTAAGTGAAAGTTTAGTGGGAAAATTGGCAGTTTACTCTAAACTATAATCGTCAAAGTTTACAATCCAAAGTTACATAATAATGGTAAAGTTATAGTTAACAACAAAAATGACATCGTTATTATTGTAACAAGGTTGGTGTTCATGTGAAATCCTGTTCCCGGATTTCATTGTTATAATCTACGTATTGTTATTATTGAAATTTTATGTTATTTTTGGGAATTTATATTAATTTATTTGAATTTAGATTTTGAATTAAACTAGTTACGAAGTTTAAAGTTTGGAAATTAATTATTTAAAACCCGTAGATCTTTCGAGGTCACAATTTATATTTTTGAATAAAGCTTGATCTCATAAATGTATAGGCGAAAGCCGTTTGCGAGTCCGGATTATAACAATATAGTTACGGACATTTGGAATCGTTTTACTAAACTATAGGTTTTAAATTAATTAAAACTCCCACCATGTAGGAATGGTAACCAATCAAAGTTGAGGACCAATTAGATTAGTTGTGGAGGGACCAATATGAAATTAAGGAGGGGAGAGGACTAATGAGGAGGAGGAGAAGAAAAAAAAAAGAAAAAACCTTCCTCTTCCCGTTGACCACACCCATGACAAAACAAAACCAGTTTCGACCCAGTTCTAACTCCGGCCACCTTCCATCATTTTTCATGCTAACTACACCCATCCCTCACCTGCAATCTCTTCCAGAACATCTCCTCTACCATTTTCACCCCAAATTTGATGGAAATTGACTTGGTATTTGTGAAAACCGCACTGGTGGGTGTACGGGGCAGACGACGGCGATTCCGTCATTTGGGAAAGTAACACAGTTGACTACCACCAAGGTTCGACTCCTGGTGAGGTAGGGAACAAAGCCCAACCAACCTTGGGGGCGGCAGAGCACTATAGGTGACGGATCGAAGCCATCCATTTCTAGGGTTTCCGGTGAGTTTGTGGCGATTTGAGGCTTTTCCCGACCAAATTGGACTTGTCCACATGTATAAAGTTTGCTTTACTCATTGAGATCTTTATTTCTATAAATTTTGGTAATTTTTGGATTTAGTTGAATTTTCCGGCGAATCGAGGTAGCCAACCGCCACTGGTAGCAGCGCGTGGCCAGTGGGCCGACGATGTCTTTTTAAGTACTATTAGAGGCCTTGGGTTCATGTTTGATATCAGTATGCCGTAATTTGATTGTTTGAACTTAGTTTCATTACGGTACATTACTTGATCAAAATATGAATCGACGATCCGACCGTTGGATCGTTACCAAACCTTAATGTGTTATAGAACATAATATTTGACGATCATAGAAACTTAGGGATCAGGAATCCGACATACGGATCTTACCAAATTGGATTTCTAAGTTTGTAAAACAAATTGTTGATCGCCACCTAATTCTAGAAATTGGCAGAGATCCGATCGTTAGATCGCGATGAGACTTTAGCATGTTGTTCTTTGAGCATAATGTAGACCTTAGGAAGTTACAGATCTAAACTATGATATGTGGATCTTCCGGATTAAATTGCTAAGGTGTTGACCACACCGTTGACTTTTGGTCAACAAGTCTTGAACCATTTGAATTACTAAAATTAGTATTACTAAAAACTCAGTGAAGCTTTGCGGACTTGTCTTGGTGAGTGACTTTAATATATGTGATATGGTGATTATCCGATTCTTTATATTAATGTCCTTTGTGGATATGACTTGGTTTTATAAATGTGTTTTCTGTTAAAATGTGATTCTTTTATAATTGGCCATCGATCTATTTTTATTAAATGTGGTTTGATTCATGAATTGATTGACGGGATTGCATAATGATTTTGGATATGGATGTTATTATTATGATTATTCTAGTTGATCAATATGGCTTGAGAAGAATATTGTGCTTCGTCATTAGTTCTTGGACATATTGCATGGTATGCATTGTGATATATTGTTGAGACATAGCGATTTATGTGATAAATGTTCGAGTATAGTGAAATGGTGAACTACGAATTGTTTGATCTCTATTGAGGGTATATAGGCAGTCTAATGAGGAGGTTAGATGTAGCCATAAAGTATTCAAATAATCATTACGCAAATCGAGGCTCAAGATGTGCTTGGTACATATTCCAAAGCTGGGATATGTTAGATATATGGTTTTTGATGACGTCATGTGTCGATCCTGGACGTATATTGGGATCAAGGCGTGACAGTTCACGTTTGTGAAAGTCTTATTACACTATCAATGTATGCTCATGTGTACAAAATTATAGTTCAAATTAAAGGATATCAGTATCATTTTTTAAAGAGTATTGTAGACTAACCTTTCAAAAAGATCTTGATCCATAAAATATGGTAAAAATGAAAAATGACCCACGTAACACCAATATATTCATGCAAGTAAAAATTGGCATTCCAAGTGCCACATAAGAAAATGGCAATTAATAGGACAGTTTGGCAGGTGGAGAGAACGGTGACTGGTGTAACATTTTGTAACTTTATGATGGTTTTGGAAATTTTAAATATGGGGTGTTATTTATTTATTTTTATATTTTATATTTTAAACAAACGGTACGGGGTGTTAAATCCTAAACTAGTTTCAGGTTCTGATAGTTACTTGATCTACAATCAACGGCTAGTTAATTTAAATTAGAGTTTGTAACAGCTAGTTTTAAAATGCTGGTTTGGTAAACATGTGTAAGGTTCAGATTGTACTGGTTAGCTAGCTGGAACCTTGAAGGTCTTTTGGATGAATGAAATTGTACTAGCTAGCTGGAGCCCTGGAGGTCTTTATTTCCAGTAGCTAATTGCAGGTGAGTGTAAGGGTGGTGTTGGGACCAAAACCCTACTTGAATCTAATATAAATTGAAGAGGAATGAGCTGCAATGTTTGGCTCTTTTGCCGTCACTTTTCTGCAAAGTACTCTGAAAATTCTTCTTCCAAAACTTACACAAAATACAAACAAAACAATCATTATTTGTGAATCCAAAATCTCACGTAGGGACCAAATTGTTACAAGCTTGAAAGGGCAAAGGTACAAAATGTAACTGTCCCTAATTAGTAATGCCCTTAATTATTCTAACTAGGGTAGTGCTATCTACACACCGATCTTTTACTTCTCACACAACCATCTTAATTTTCGACTGTCAAATCGAATAAATTGAAGAAGATCAATGGCCAAAATTAACAAGGGTGTGTAGTACTATCCTATAACAATCCAAAAATTGAAAGTATATATGATCAAAATGAAGATTTCACTAATTAGTAGCAAGTTATTGGTATGATAATCTACTGGCACTCATTCTAGTAGTGCTTCTTTTTCAAATATTGAAAATAATCCTAAATTCCAATATCTCATCTTTAATAACAATCTTTAATCAACTGGCAATCAATAACGATTGTCATGGTTTATGAAATTTCATTACAAAACAAGGAGTCCTTATGTCACATTACAGAGGATCTCATTTAAAAAAAAAATCCATCGTATGAGGGCTACCGGGACTAACTAATCACACACGCCCTTGTGTAAATAAGTAAGCGCCAAAGACATTTTCAAATTGTACAACTCATGTACTGTATTTGGAGTAAATACTAGTAAAAAAACACTTTGCACGACGTAGGTCCTTCGTCGTGCAAAGTCAAAAAAACGTCGCACAAAAATTAGCCCAACGAACCTTCGTCGCGCACCAACCGTCGCACCAAGGCAGTAACAGTAGGGTTTGCGCGACGAAGAAGTTACCTGCGTCGTGCTAACCCACTTTGCGCTACGCAGGTAACTTCTACGTCGTGCAAACCTTTTTTCTTTTTTTTTTGCAAAAATATTTGTTTTTTTTTTTTTTAATAAATATTGTAATTAAATTCTAAACAATAATTAATAAACCAGGAAAAAGTATTTAATTATGAAATATATGAAAATGTACATACAAGATGTCCAAACAAAAAAGAAAAAACTACAACATGTGGCCAAATCGAATGCAGAAAACTACACTCATGTATTGCTTATATTCTGTCATTCCTAAGCTGGTTGGAGCCCTTATTCATGTGCTCCATGTTCCAAGAGGGGTCTACTGGAGGAAGTTGGAATTTCTCTGGTTTCAAGGCCAATGCGAAATTAGGCAATGTTGGTGCTGTCTCCATGATTCTGCAGTTGAAATATCCAAAACACACGTTAATTATTCCCCGAGGATTTGTTCTATGTATCATCAACCAAGAACATTGAGATTGCAATTAGGGGTGCCAAGAGTGAAAAGGAGATTGCATTTAGGCATAAAAAAAATACTATTGGTAATAGGTCTCTCAGGCAGGACATACTTTTCGTGTGAGTACAGATCACGTTTTATCCGCACTTTGCTTGAAGCATCTTTTGGAATTTTCTCAGATAGATACTTCATGGTTCCCCAGAGCGGTGGATTTCTGCATAATGTGTATAAAAAAGCACTTAACCATTAAAAGAAGAAAGATTGACAAGAAGAAGAAAACTGATCAGCTAATGGACATTTCAATCATGAAACATCCAATGCTACATACGAGACGGTAGATCTTCATAACACGACACAAATTTCAAGAAGGGCCTGTAGAATAATCTTTGCTAATATCTAGAGATTGGACTAGACTCTATAGTAGATAATTTAGGAGACAGTTTTCTTAGGAAGAGTTCTCGTAGAAACTGAACTCCATCTTAATGGCCTAAGGTTGCAAATGTCATACTAAAGACAATTTTATGTTCGTTCCTTGTACGTGTTTGTGTTTAACGTTCTTGGAGATAGGGAGAGAGGATAAAGATATTGTGGCTACAACATATACTTTACTGCCCCTAGAAAAAACGGGCAGATAATCTGCTAGATGCCACCCAATGAAATCAGCAAAATGAATACGCAAATACAGCCTCTACCTACCTTGACAAATGGGGAGCAGCGTTAAATGCTTCGCATGCCTTCTTACTTTCTTTGAAATACTCATCTGCTGCTTGCAAAGCAGCTACAGCCATCCCATGAAATTTTTCTATGTTACCCTCATCAAGGATCAAACCATGATAGTAATATGCAGCAGCCTGGTTAAAATGGGAAGGTCAAAATTGGAAGAACTTTGGTTAGTTGTTCAGAACACAAACTTCAATTGTAATTCGTAATTAAAATCAAATATTCAACATTAGCAGCGTAAGACCCCTCCCTATCAGCTAGATCAACTTGAAAGAATGAACTAAACTACATGGTTCTTCATGAATAGTTCAATATACTTTCATTTGGCAGTTATTTGTTCAGAAAAGGCAATAGCGTATCAGAACCTAGAACATAGGTATCAAAATCTGCATGCACGTAATCTAATACAAGGGAAGACAAACCGAATGAGCGAGTAATCACCAACGTAGAAAATACAAATGACCAACTTGATATCTTTTTTTAGATAAATGCAAGTGTGCTTTCTAGAGGAATCACTACAAGGCCACTATTTTCCCTCCATAAATAAAACATACATGTTAAATCACGCTTTTGGTTTCCTTATTACTCTCATAGACACTATCCTTATAGTGGGAGGTAAACTCATAAGTTTAGAAGGATAGTGGTAAGAGCATAAAAAAGACGAGCAGAAAGGGCAAGATACATTTGCCTCAACATATTTCCACTTCACCCCAACCATTTAATAATGGAAGGTTCATAATGTTATCTTGAGCCTGCAAATAGATGGCATAAAGAAAGCAATATGCTTGAGGATCACCATGTGATTCAACAAACATATAATGTGTTCGGTTGACAAGAGTAATCATGAGAAACATAGTGAACCACAAGAATTAACAACTTATATATGACATGTAACTGATATGAAATATATAGGAACTTCTCACAACTACTCTAAATAGAGAACAGCCAAAATTACTCAACGTCAGGAAAGGCAAAAGGAAAACCTAAGAATGTAGCCAAAATTATATATGACATGTAATTGATATGAAGTTAGCTTGTGATAATGATAGCATTGCCATTAAGTGCAAAATCAGGGGTTTCAAATTTTGAATTATATGTTCTGATCACTGAATGATATGTTCTGCAAAGAATAAAAAAACCTTGTTTGCATCAAATTATCTGCAAATAAAGTCATCTAAACAACTTAAAGAACGTGTAAATTCTGAACAATTTCTATTTTGGTTTCAGGACAGGGTCCTAGCTACAAACAGAAGCAACTGTTTGGATTGAAACAGAAGGATGCCTGTGGACTATAGTATAGTCCACACCTAATAACCATTAATTTCATGGAAAGTTGTTCTATGCAATGCAACTAGTTAGTTGTGATCATATGAGAAAAATCCATCACCTAATCACCATTAATTTCCCAGAGCTAGTAATTATACAAGCTTTAACACAATACTAATCAGCTGCAAGAACGAAAGAAAGCAGTACATGTGATGAAGCACTAAAATAATTCCAACAAAAACACACAAAAATAACTAAAATTCGATTCAACACACCCCCAATTTAACCCTAAAATTCGATTTAACACTAAAACCCACAATTTCTATTTTAATTTTCCTAATTGAATCTAATTACGATACCAAAATTTTCAAATTATGGCATTAGAAAGAAGAAAAATACATAATTAAGCAAAGATAAATACTGGCTGGGTGCAGTCGAAAGGAAGGAAGGGTGAGGAGAATGTTGGCTGGGTGGGTGCAGACGGGAGGAAGGAAGGATGAGGAGGAGGCTGGGTGCAGTCGGAGGAAGGAAGAGAGAGACGGAGTGAGAGAGAGGCACGAGAGAGATAGAGTAAGAGAGGGAAGAGAGAGCGGAAAAATTGGAATAATTTTTTAAAAAAGCGCCTATTAACGAAAATAATGCCGCCAAAATTTTGATAGATTGTGCGACGTAGGTATACATCATCACGTCGCTCAAAATGTTTTTGCACGACTATCTAATTGTGGCGTCGCGCAAGTTATATTTTTTTCCAAAAAAAAATACTGAAAATGTGACTTTATTCCTTTTAAATTCAATTTTTTTTAACATAAAACCCACAATAATATATTTTTCTAACAAAAACCCGATCCGAATTATAATAATAAAATTAAAGCTACTTAACAAATATACTTACCATTCAATTTCTTAAGTGTTATATATACAAAATAACGGGACAAACCCTTTCAATGATTATATATAAAAAATCACGATTTAACGGTTATTTTAACTCCGATTTTGATGATTTTTTACAGCTACACTCCTTGACCCTATATGAATACAATGAACTAATTCGATCGTCAATTTAAAACGTTTACACAAGTTGATACCACAAAATCTTATGTTATACTTAATGAAAGTATAAATAAACTCTAAGTATTAGTGAATCTATTGTTTTGATGGGAAATGCATTGCACGAAACTAGTTTTAACGATTTAACCGTCAAACTTGTTTGTATATGTTTCGAGATCACATACGCCAAAAATCGCAAAAAACAAACATTCAGATATCAAGTTACAAGATAAACATCTTCGACGGTTATCAACGAAAAATCACAATTTAACAGTAGTTTTAACTCCGATTTTGATGATTTTTAATAACTACACTCCTTGACCCTATATGAATACAATGAACTAATTCGATCGTCACTTTAAAACATTTACACAAATGAATACCACAAAATCTTATGTTATACTTAATGAAAGTATAAATAAACTCCAAGTGTTAGTGAATGTATCGTTTTGATAGGCAACGCATTGTACGAAACTAGTTTCAACGATCCAACCGTCAAACTTGTTTGTATAGGCTTCGAGATCGCATACGCCAAAAATCGCAAAAAAAAAACATTCAGAGATTATGTAACAGGACAAATCTTTCAACGGTTATAAACAAAAAATTACAATTTAACGATAGTTTTAACTCCGATTTTGATGATTTTTACCAGCTACACTCCTGGATCTTATATGAATACAATGAAATAATTTGATCTTCAATTTAATATATTTACACTAGTGGATACCACCAAATCTTATGTTATACTTAATGAAAGTATAAACAAACTCCAAGTGTTAGTGAATGTATCGTTTTGATGAGAAACACATTGTAGGAAACTAGTTTCAACGATCCAACCGTCAAACTTGTTTGTATATGCTTCGAGATTGTATACGCCAAAAAAAACAAACGTTCAGATATCAAGTAACAGGACAAACCTTTTTTACGGCTATAAACGAAAAATCACGATTTAACGGTTATTTTAACTCCGATTTTGATGATTTTTTATAGTTACACTCTTTAACCATTTATGAATACAATGAACTAATTCGATCGTCAATTTAAAATATTTACACAAGTGGATACCAGACAAGAAAAGGCAATGCAAGAACCCGAAAAGAAAAGGAAAAAGGCCAAAAAAAAAAAACTTTGTGCGATGTAGGTCTTCGTCGCGCAAAGCTGTTTTGAGCGACGCAGGTGTACCTACGTTGCGCAAAGAGTTTTTTTTTTTTTTTGCCCCTTTTCCTTCTTCTTCCCTTTTGCTTATGAGTACAAAATAAATAAATTAAAATCTACTTAGTAAATATATATATATATATATATATATATATATATATACCATAATAAACTAATTCAATCGTCAATTTAAAATATTTACACTAGTGGATACCACAAAATTTTATGTTATACTTATTGAAAGTATAAATAAAACTCGAAGTGTTAGTGAATATATCGTTTTGATGGAAACATATTGTACGAAACTAGTTTCAACGATCCAACCGTCAAACTTGTTTGCATATGCTTTGAGATTGCATACGCCAAAAATCACAAAAAACAAACATTCAGATATCAAATAATGGGAGAAACCTTTTCGACGGATATAAACGAAAAATCACGATTTAACGGTTATTTTAACTTCGATTTTGATGATTTTTTATAGCTACACTTTTTAACCCTATATGAATACAATGAACTAATTCGATCGTCAATTTAAAATATTTACACAAGTGGATACCAGAAAAGAAAAGGCAATGCAAGAACCCCAAAAGAAAAGGAAAAGGGCAAAAAAAAAAACAAAAAAAACTTTGTGCGACGCAGGTGTACCTACGCTGCGCAAAGTGTGTTTTTTTGTTTTTTTGCCCTTTTTCCTTCTTCTTCCCTTTTGCTTATGAGTACAAAATAAATAAATTAAAATCTACTTAGGAAATATATATATATACCATAATAAACTAATGCAATTGTCAATTTAAAATATTTACACTAGTGGATACCACAAAATCTTATGTTATACTTAATGAAAGTATAAATAAAACTCGAAGTGTTAGTGAATGTATCGTTTTGATGGAAAACATATGGTATGAAACTAGTTTCAACGATCCAACCGTCAAACTTGTTTGCATATGCTTCGAGATTGCATACGCCAAAAATCGCAAAAAACAAACATTCAAATATCAAATAACGGGAGAAACCTTTTAGACGGCTATAAACGAAAAATCACGATTTAATGGTTATTTTAACTTCGATTTTTTATGATTCCTTAACCCTATATGAATACAATGAACTAATTCGATCGTCAATTTAAAATATTTACACAAGCAGATACCAGAAAAGAAAAGGCAATGCAAGAACCCCAAAAGAAAAGGAAAAAGGCAAAAAAAAAAAAAAAAAACTTTGCGAGACGCAGGTGTACCTACGTTGCGCAAAGTGTGTTTTTTTGTTTTTTTGCCACTTTTCCTTCTTCTTCCCTTTTGCTTATGAGTACAAAATAAATAAATTAAAATCTACTTAGTAAATATATATATATACCATAATAAACTAATTCAATTGTCAATTTAAAATATTTACACTAGTGGATACCACAAAATCTTATGTTATACTTAATGAAAGTATAAATAAAACTCGAAGTGTTAGTGAATGTATCGTTTTGATGGGAAACGTATGGTACGAAACTAATTTCAATGATCCAACCGTCAAACTTGTTTGCATATGCTTCGAGATTGCATACGCCAAAAATCGCAAAAAACAAACATTCAAATATCAAATAACGGGAGAAACCTTTTTGACGGCTATAAACGAAAAATCACTATTTAACGGTTATTTTAACTTCGATTTTTGATGATTCTTTAACCCTATATGAATACAATGAACTAATTCGATCATCAATTTAAAATATTTACACAAGTGGATACCAGAAAAGAAAAGGCAATGCAAGAACCCCAAAAGAAAAGGAAAAAGGCAAAAAAAAAAAAAAAAAACTTTGCGCGACGCAGGTGTACCTACGGTGTGCAAAGTGTTTTTTTTTTTTTTTTTAGCCCCTTTTCCTTCTTCTTCCCTTTTGCTTGTGAGTACAAAATAAATAAATTAAAATCTACTTAGTAAATATATATATACCATAATAAAATAATTCAATTGTCAATTTAAAATATTTACACTAGTGGATACCACAAAATCTTATGTTATACTTAATGGAAGTATAAATAAAACTCGAAGTGTTAGTGAATGTATCGTTTTGATGGGAAACGTATGGTACGAAACTAGTTTCAACGATCCAACCGTCAAACTTGTTTGCATATGCTTCGAGATTGCATACGACAAAAATCGCAAAAAACAAACATTCAAATATCAAATAACGGGAGAAACCTTTTCGACGGCTATAAACGAAAAATCACGATTTAAAGGTTATTTTAACTTCAATTTTTGAAGATTTTTTATAGCTACACTCTTTAACCCTATATGAATACAATGAACTAATTCAATCGTCAATTTAAAATATTTACACAATTAGATACCGGAAAAGAAAAGGCAAGCAAGAACCCCAAAAAAAAAAGGAAGAGGGCAAAAAAAAAAACTTTGAGCAACGTAGTTCTTCGTCGTGCAAAGTTGTTTTGCGCGACGCAGGTGTACCTACGTTGTGCAAAGTTTTTTTTGTTTTTTTTTTTTTGCCCCT